AGCCCACCAAGGTGGCGATGCGCCCTGTATTGCCAGAGGAGTCCAAGGAACAAAGTTAGGGCACCCTGTGGTTGTTGGGCCTCTTCTGTCCTCTGGGGCATGGAATTGTCAGTAGCCCCAAAGCTCTTCAAGATCTCAGTTGTTGATACTTCGTCTAGACTGAGGTTTATAATCATTTTCAGACAGAGCGCGCCTTGCGCCTTGTCGTCGATCGGCAGACTAGCCTTGATGAGCTCAAGAAGTTCATGAAATAAGATGATTAGTAATTCATAGGTCTAAACAACCTCTATCCTCGGATGAAGAAGCGTGCGGCCGTTATGTGAGTAACAAGTTAATCGTCTGACTTTATTCTCACCAGTTATCCTGGGCACGCCATGAATTCAGACAGAACTCCTGCAAGGTATCTAGCGTAGGAGTCTCGATCATGTTGCTAGCAAGAGCCTATGGGAGGGATAACCTAAGAACTCTCATCCTAACCAAAATCGAAGTCAAAATGCTTCTAGATCAAATTTGTTATCATCTGACCTTTCACTCATAGGGGAGCAGACACTATGGATTCCCTTCACAAGAGAGCTTTCCAAGACTGTGTAGAACCCTTGGTGGGTTGCCACCAATGGTTTTCCAAACAGGCAGAGCTATTCTCGTACCTTTAGAGCTACGCTCCGAAAGTTCAACATCATCGGAGCGAGGCTCTGGCGATTTAACCACCATTAGGGTGCCCTGAAATTTGCATTAGCTATTAGAGCTCGACTCTTAAATCTGCGTTTTATCAGAGTTGTTGCTCTGACGAACTAATTGTCGTCAGGGTGATGCACTGGCATCTATGTCCCCACCAAAGGTGCTCTGTTGGTTGTGAAACTGTCAGAAGTCTTTTGGGCCAAGTTCAATCAAAGCGAACGACGGCACGTGACGCCCCAGGGCCGGGCTTGAATAGATTGAACTGGTCTAAGCCCGTTCCAAGCAACCGGGAGCTCGAAGAGTCACCAGGTCTAGTTGAAACAAGTCAATGTTGGTCAAAGGAGCACCAAGAGACGTGCCAGTTGTGTGTGACGTCAGTGGTTGCCATGCATGCCCATTAACCTCCTTGATCTTCGCACTGTCATGGGATGTTTCGAAGAAATAGTGGGACACATGGCAAACAATCGGTGACAGACGCTTCAATGTCTTTGGACATGGATAACAAAGAGGGGATTTTTACCTTTTACCGCGCTCCATTGCTCTTGCATGGGTCTTCCTCACACTGCATTAGCAAGCTTCAAGATTTTAGCTTCCACCAAATCCCGCGCTCTCGCCACCAACTCTTGCTCTGCTCGGCTGCGCCGCAGCAAGGGCAAGGAGCAATTCAAGTTGCTCTGCTCGGCTGCGCCGCAGCAAGGGCAAGGAGCAATTTGAGTTCCAGATCAAGGAGCCGCTTTGGGACTACAAGGAGGAAGTTATCCCGTGGGAGACACTCGACCTTCTGGACTTCATGGCGTCGAACTTCAAGGAGTCCACCATGAGCATCCACGATCTTGACCTCCATTAGGCTTCTGCCGCTGGCGATTTTCGCCCTACGGCACTCTACACGAGGAATTATTGCTTCGGCACCTCGCCCCGACGAGGCGGCTTCTCCACCGCCGCCGCCGTCCGTGACCATTCTTAGCTCGTGCACAACTTGCGGGGGCTGCCCTTCTTCAACGTGTTGGAGCTGCACAATCTCAACCTCAGCTCGATCCTCCATGTGGCGATCTTCATCACGTCTTGCAAGTGCCTTATCAGCATCCGCCCCCACTTCAACTTTTGGTGCGCCGCAGCCCCAAGTGGACAAGACGAACGTTTGTGATGGCACTATCTTCCAGATCCGGTTGGATCTAGGGAACAAGACAGACATCAAGATAGAGTATTTTGGAGTATACTGTGAACAAGTCGGTGAAGAATTGGCGGGGTTCTACATCGCCAACGGGACTCCAAGTCTGCCAGAGTTCACCATGACTCCTTCGGAGCCAAGGGACTGCTTGCCGAGAAGCCAACGACCAAGGTACTCAAGATCAAGCGGCTAAAAGAGGGAGTGACCGTGTATACACTCCTAATGACATTTCTGCGTCGCCGAATCCGGGCCCTAAGGGTCAGGTACGACTACATACCAAAATATCCTAGTTAGGCAGACCCTAATACAATGATCAGCACTCCTACGAACAAGGAGGCCATCAAAGCTAGGATCGCTAACTTCCTGGAGATCCCCAAGGAGGACCACGGCCACCTCTACTAGCTCGGCGAGGGACATCATGGGTTCAGCAGAGCCAATCCACCGCACACACACAAGTATTTTGATTGATTTTTGCTTCCTTCATCAAACTCTGACTTGGTTTTTACTCCCTTGGGCTTTCGAAGGTCTTGCCTCTGACCCTCCACTGCCGACTCGTGCTATGTTGCACCACCCCGGTCATGCATCAAGCTATGCTGGTGTCGGTGGCGGTGAAGCCGAGTGCAACAATGATGCTAGGAAGGTGGCGTCATGAATAGTCTTCGAGGAAAACTACCGCTAGCGCGGCTGGCGAAGGGAAGGCGGCCCCTCCTATCAATGCGCACAAGAGGAAGCCTACTGTGGGATCTGCATCGAGGAACCCATGGAGGCTGTCCCCATCCGCCAAGCGTCCTTGCAAAGCCACTCTACAGCGCCCGGAGGTGAGCCTGCGGGCTGTGCCAGGCCGACAAAGCCCTCCTCCACTCTGAAAAGGAGGTAGAGGTTGGGCTTTAACCCGCCCAAGGCATCGCGTAAGTACCTTGCCTCTTGTTTGATATTTTATGTATTAATCGTGAATGACTAACACTTATTCTGCTCTGACAGCCTGGAAGAAGAGGAAACCGCTACGTGGAGCGGCAGCATTGTGGCCGGGGAGCACTTGCAGACCAAGCTGCTGCCTCAAAGAGTTTAACTTTGATCATAGCCCTCTATCACACAAACTGATCATAATTTTCTTCTTGGCACATCTACCTCGAAGAATTTAACTTTGAAATCACACTTGTTTGCCTCAATCACATCACATTGCAGTGTATATTTTTTAAACTTTATTACATATTGAAAGCACGTAAGGAATGCATGGATTATGCCCCCACAAATTTGACACCTCACGAAACAGTCAAGGTACTGTATCAGAAATAATGTTTGTTAGTTCAATCGGTACTGGGCCATTTTAGTTTCCAGACTTCAACATAAGCTGTTTGATAATACGATACTACTTCCATTAATCAAAAAACTTATATATGGTTTTTTAGCAAGCTAATTCATGATTCCATCACTAACTATTTGCAAAAATGAACTACATTATGAAATCCTACCTTCCCACCAGCTCCCCCTGATGGCTGATGGATCATAATTCTCGCATTTGGCATGCAAAATCTCTTTCCCTTTGTCCCAGCAGCTAACAAAAATGCACCCATGGAAGCCGCCAATCCAAAGCAAACAGTTGAGATATCAGCCTTGCAAAATTTCATGGCATCATAAATCCCCATTCCTGGTAATTGATGTGGCAGAAGTTATACTAGAGCATACAACATCAATTAGAAAAGACAGAAATTTGGGAAATGGTTACAGAAGTTATCAGCGAGTTGTAATTTCAGTCGGTTTAACTGTTAAGGCAGGCTAAGACACTCTAACGTCATACAAAAGGAAGGCCAAGAAACTTTGAACTAGAAAAAAAAATCCATGTACAAAAGGTAGGCTAAGACAATCTGAACTTAACAGATAAAGAAAGCTCACTGAGCTAGCAAGATTTCGATCAAATAAGTCGAAACGGTTAGCTTCAAGGAACCGTGCGGAGACGCTGAGCTTTCTAAAAACAGCCTAAAAGTTGTGATGCTGTTCAGCAACTGCACTTGACATTCTGGTAAACAAGTCATGTGCTCTGATGTTTCAGGACATGCTTTAAATGTATTGGCATCTTGGCACCTCTGCAGCTAGTGATGGCCACTTCGACGAGGCCTTGGAGACATCCTCGAGCCAGCGCCAAAGTACGCCCAATAGAGACCATCAGCTGGCGGTGATCACGCCATGTACTACTATGGCAGAACCTGTGTGTACTGACTGATTGGTTGTTTCTGTACTTGAATTTCCTGGGAGCAAAAGGAAGGATAGTCAAAGGATGATGCATCCAGCAATAAATGTGGGCCATCAGCCACTTGCAAGACATGCAGGATTTGGTGGATGCTGACATCAGCTGACTGACGGATGAATCGGAAGGGGGAAGGGGCAGCGATGATGCAAATTGCAATGTATGTTTACTCACAAATAGGGAAAGAGTTGATCGATAAGATTATTTCTTTATCCGCAAGTTGGTGCCCATGAAAGAAATGGTCAGCTGGGTCAATGGAGTTGATAAAAATATCCTGAGTTGATACAGGTGTATTGACACCATGGCTTGGATGTTGCCAATTTGCCACGATAGAGAGGTGGCAGGAGCTTGTGTTACTGCTACGTGAGAGACTAAATGACTTGGTGATGAGAAAACCATAGTGATGCAAACAGCCATTGTTATTAATTATTAAGTAGAGTACAAACCTAAGACAACTATAACATAACCATTACAAGAAAACTGAATAAAACATCTATGACTAAGTCGACTTCTTCCGTAGCAGCGCCTTCAAGAAGGGTACACGTCCTTGCACCGTCGTCGCCACATCTGACATTATCAGGACAAGGAGGCAACGCCTTCAACAAAGTAACGACGCAAGTTCATCGCTGTTGAGCCCAACCAGTAAAGGCCAGAACAAGAGTTTTCACCCCGGATATGAAGCGGTGTTTCAACCAGCATCTTGATGACGGGTCTCTTGACAGTCACCCTTGCCAGTACTCCACTGCATACGGCATAGTTGCGCTAGCTGATGGGTGGGACATCTTCCCACCAAAAAAGACAGCCCCTGCCGTCGGGGGGCACCCATGCCGCGGCGCTAATCTGACCACTGTCACGCCACAACGTCGTGAACTGACGTGTAACATCCACCACATTTCCGGGACCGCTGCCCCGGCATCCTCCATATGTATAGAGGCAGATATCGTCGAGCATGATGTCGATGGGGGAGCGTTGTTGCACTCCGTCCCCATCAACAAACGGAAACCTTGTCGAGCAGACGACAAGTGTCCGCCCTCGGGCCGGACGTCCATCCCAAGGACACCGACACACCACCGTTGAAAGCCATCGACTGCGGGATCAAACACCTTGCAAGTCAACAACAACGAATTGTCCTTCACCGATGTCATGGCCTAGCCACATGCCGCCAACACCAGCACATATGTGCATTCTCGCAACCAACTTGAAGCTATGCCCGGGCACATCGTTCCACCACCCTCCTTGTAGGGGTCGTTGCCCTAGTCTCCCCGTCATGTACCTCGGCCACAGTGTCGCACCCCGGCCGCCGTGCTCCTGCGACGACGATGACCACAAGATGGTCCGTTCCGCCACACCTACACCACATGATTGGACCTCCAAAGGTAATAATTATAGGTGATGGTGATGCTCTTGTCCCATTACTGGACATGGATTGCTCGCATGATATTAATGCCCCTCTTGCTATGTCGCATGATATTATGCCTTTTACATGCTTTGATTTGCCACCCGTTCATGATGAGTGTGATCATAAGTATGTGATGACTAGTAGTTGTGAAGCTCTTGTGATAATTTCATATGTGATATCATATTTGCAACTCCACAATCCTTGTCATATGCTATGAATGAGATTTCCGATATCAAATCTTTGAGCTCATTTAGTAGTGACTATGTCATTTCCATTAAAATGAACTTGATATGTGAATATGGCATAAGATGACAAATTCTTGGTTAGTGGTATTTGCATATGTTGTGCTGATATTGCCATGCTCCCTTTACATAATTTGCGCAATTCTTCACATATCCCATACCATGACCGCCTTGCTTTGAATATGCAGTTTTGATGTTGTTCAATTTCTCCATATAGCACTTGTCTTGATTGCAACCATGCTTATACTATTGCTCATGAGGAAGCCCCCATAGTTTCCTCATACATGTTAGGAGATTTGATTCATCCTATGCATTGCATGCTCCCCATATTTGTGTGCACAATATGCTTGACTTTGATATGAATGATACAAACATTAATATTGATGCACCATATACTTGCTACCCTTTGCGTCCAATCATGTTAAGCATAATAACTATCATTGCATGCAAAGAGAAAATATGCACCTTTGGGGGGCCAAATGACAACAATCTTTTTAATTTAAGGCTCTTATTTCCTTCCTTCGGTAAATATGCTACAGCAGGGGGGCAGCGGCCCCTCAGCATTGCACATAGCTCCGACACTGCTCTAGCATGCATGATGGATGATGTGTACATAGACCACGTGCACACATTGTTTCTTTTTCAATGTTGTGTAGGTACAACACTTCCTCATCAACATCGCAAGCGCACGAGTTGAAAAAAAGAGGTCTAGAGAGCAACCAAGTTGTGCGTCACCATGGAGTGCTTATTCTCCACCATTTCTCTTCACGCAAGGATTTCACGCACCTCTTCTGTTATTGTCCAATACATATCTTGTGCTCATTTACCATGTTCACATGGCATGCTTTGATCATTTTCATTTCGTTGCCATGCCTTTGTGACCCGTGATTTGCATTATACATGATATACCCCTCTATTGCTTGTATGTGTATTTGCAAGCTTGGTGGAGATATTACTTGTTATTACCATGTCCCATCCTTCATCCATGCTATTGATATTGATTGTATTGGGAGAGTCGTGTTGACCAACTGTTCTTTTCATAGGACATCTCGCCAATATGATGACAATGATTTTGCCATGATTTGCTTTAGAGCTTGTGATATGTCAAGTGCATTACTTATGCCCACTATTTGCTCACATGACATGATTAATACTTGCTCTTTTCATGCGGTCGATGGCACCTATTTCCATGCTTTGGACATGATTGCTATCGAAAGTTGTCATATGTCCCTTTTAGTTATCTCTATCCTGTTTCTATGTATTGAGTGCAACCATGCTATTAATCTTGCATATGAGAATGCCCCCATAGCATTCTCACATATAATTGGAGCTTTTGACACTTTTCATGTGAAGCATGCTCGTTGTCCTTCTTTGCACAATATACCTAGTGCCATAAATATAAACATTGTTGCATCAAATTATTCATGCACTTTCGATCCTAATGGTTGTGTGCAAGAGAAGCGACACATCATGATGGATGATGTGTTTATCTACCATGCGCATACGTTCTTTGCTTTGTTGTGTGCATGTGTAGGAAAGTTGGAACACTCGACAACTCCTACTCACCATGAGGTGACCATCGAAGCTCTTGAGAGCGGGCCACATACACTCTCCACCGACACGCTTCTACAACATATTTGCTTGTGCATCGACATTGGGAAGAACGTACAAGGACAAGCATTCAAGGTGACATCCTTCTCTTTCAAGAATCCCAAAACATTGAGCATGGCTATTGTGGATCATACTACATGTGTTGTTTGTACCATGACAAATATTGGTCATCTTCGTCCACATTGCTTGCACACATGATAGCAATTTTTGCTCTGATTTGTCATTGCCACTTCTCCATGTTTCTTGATATATATACCTTGTGTATTGCATCAAACTTATTGATTCCATGCACTTATCATATGTTTGATTGCAACAAATGTCTTTTTCTGTCACATGCTATGCACTCTTGATTGCCACTCCCCTTGATCTATATTAATTATGGTTGTGCTAAATCAACTACAAGTTTGTACTAAATCAACAACAATGAATATGGACCGGAGGGAGTACATGATTCACTTGGTTGCCTCGCGTATGTTGAACAATTGCTCTTTCATTTGTGTTAAGTGTAACAATACTTTCACCACACACTATGCACATTATGCTTGGATTATCTTGCACTTGAGATTGCCTATTGCACATACTCTCATGCACTTGATGACCCTCTCATTGCCACTCCCCATGCTCTTACCAATTTATAAAAGGTGAATCATCTCCATTACTCATGTCCACTTGTACCCTTCAAGGATGGTATGCTACTTGACCCCTCTCTCATGTGGATACATAGGTGTGAGCGGAGCTACACATTCATCAAGGAGTCGTCCAAGCTCAAGAGGACATGTACACCATCATCGAGGTTGACCACATCGAGGGAGCCGGTGAGCCTCGCCAAGCACAAGAGGAATGAGAAGGCTACACGGAAGGAGGCTGGCAGCTGGAAGAAGAAGAAGTGCCCACGCGACCCTGTGCGCACGGCCTCCCCGGACCCCGTGCGCACGAGCTATCCAGAGCCTCTCTGGACACCCCGTGCGCACGGCCCCTTGGACCCCGTGCACATGGGCCCTCGCCGTAGCTGTTGTCTACCCCGTGCGCACGGGCGTGTACCGTGCACACAGGACCCCCATGCCCACGGGGTACACTTAGCCCGTGCGCACGGGCCCTCCTGCGAGTTGGCCGGGGAATGCCCCTTTTGCCCCTCCACTTCGCCCCTAACC